AAGACATTGAGAAACAGGAATGAAAAGCAGAAATGAATTCAAGTACATAGGAAAAACCAAAATGCATAAGTTGGGAAGGAAGCAAGTTTGCAGGGATGTGAATGTGGGGTGGTGTTTTCTGCTAGGCCTTAAAGGGAGTGTGAAATTAAAGAGGAAATTACAACCCACGGGGCATGTTGAAAATTGACTTTTCATTAAAATGAAATTGAGAATCTGGGTATGAAGTAGAATCTGGCTAGAAAGTAGTGGGTGCCTAGCATTTGTAAATTACTTCATACAGCTAATATTACATTACATTTCATAATGGGCAAATTGCCTAAATAAAAAAAGTAATGGTTTTGCTGAGTTGGAGAACACGTTAAAGAATGGGTAGAAATAGAGCAAGGAAGAAAAGCTGGCAGTGCTTATGTGAGCTGTAAATTTGGGACTTTCATCAAAGAACAGCCAGTTCAGTAGTCTGAGGCCAGAACTCATATGAAAAGAAAACTTAAACATGGAGCAGTTGACTCCTTCACCCCCAATTTCTGGACAATTTTGAAATGTCAGATCTGTAGCGTGGTGAAATAACAGATAAGTGAAGCCGTCTGTCTTTTTGTTTTGAAGAGCATAGAGTGYTTTTCATCATGACTTGAAAGGGGCTGTTTTTGCAGCTTCACTACTAATCCACGAGACATGTTTGCAATAATGGGATTCAGTTTGTCAGGAAGAATATAAGTGCAAGTAAGAACAGCTGGATTTGGTGTTTAAACATAACTGCAAATCAGGGTGCAGGGTGTGGGKTTTTTTTTAATGAAAGTATGTTCTGGAAAGCAAGTAGAACTCAAGGAAAATGAGAAGAAATAGCAGTAGGATGCTACAGATAGGAAGAAACAGAAAAGATATGAGAAATTAATCCTTGCTAGCCCTGCCTTTTACCTGCCTTTCATGTACTTGAGCAGAGCTTGGGYTGCTGTTTGCAAAGGTAATTGCTGTTACCTGACCTGTTGGAAGAGGTGTTTGTCCCATTAAGTGCTCACACAATTAATCACACCCTGGGAGCCTCAGCAAACAGCAAAAGGCTGAATGTGCTAAAGACAGAACAGAGAATTAGCAGCTCTATCCTTTCAAAGATGTCATTCCTTTTAGGGGGTCTGAACTGCTGTGGTCCCTTGCCTGTATTTTGGAAACAGGTAGAGAAATGTGAATGTATTTTGTTACACTCACAGATGCTGCTAGAGATCCAAATTACATCCCACTGTATTTGACACTGGGGTGTGGATTATTTCACCCTAACAATCAAAAARGCAAATAGTGAAATTGATTCAGTGATGATAAATTTTGTGTAGTCTGATTTAATTTTAAAATGTTAACTTTTATTTATCTAATACCTAGTCAGGTAACTGTCAATGAATATAGGTCTTTCACACTGTTCCCTTCAGTTAATAAGGAAAAGCAATACTTCCATCTACATATAAGTAGACTCTGGTTGTCGTTTTGTGCCCTGCAATATATGTTGTGTGTCTGTTTTTTAAAAAAACCCGAACTCCAAACATTAAGGATGAAGCAGTATTTGTATTAATAAAACCAGAATTTAGGAAAATCCTCAAAAGSGTGCACTCCTGTRCAGCTGTGTTGTTCCTTCTCTCCCAACTTGTCCCTCAGCASCTGGTGCAGTCATAGTGTTTCTCTTCTTCCCAAAAATGTCTTAAAAATCTTGGAGAGAAGTACAGGTAAAGTGGGTAAAGAGAGCAAGAGGATCTACCCCACCAAGGGGAGAGCTGGAGGCAGTGGATAAGGGTGCATTTTATGCTGGAGAAAATACTTTTCTCCTGGAAAATTGCAATTGAAAGAAATAAAATGTAGCTGGGATGTAGCATTAATGACAGAACAAACCATGCTAGTCCTTAATTACCGTGTACTAATCGTGCTTCCTCAGGATCTTGATGGAAAGCAAGAAACACTGAAAAGGTTAAAATAAAACAGGGATGCTTTTTAGGCTTGTGTTGTATGTTGCCAGACAACTAGAACTAGTATCAAGTCCCTAGATTAGTAAAATCACTTGCCTTGCATTATCATAAATGATTCATATGTCTTGTAAAAGTCTGTTTAAAAGGGTGAAGTGCTATGTAATTTATGGATTAAGTTTTGCCCTTGAATGTTTGTGAAGCTCATTATAGGGAATTACATTGTGTATTCTGGGAAGAAATTTAACTCTTATGAATTCATCATGTACAAAGCTGATACAGCAGTGACTTAAATTTATTGTTGGAGCATCAAATCTGAAGTTACTCTTTCAGCAAGACAGGTGGAATTGTCACAGGCAGAGGAAGGCAGTTTGGGTGTGTTTTATTACAGGAATGTCCAAGGATAGCTGGTCAGACTAAATGGTATTTGTGTAGTCTCCAGGGATGGAGAGGAGACTCTACTACATGGATTTACCTTGGAATGACAATATTCCTCAGCTGATGGAATAGGAGGTGGATTTGTGGTGGAACCACTGCTGTGTGTCAACCTGCCCCTTGAATTAAAGGAATCAGAATAGGAATCCTGGCAGTCTTAGAAACTGGAGAATAATCTGCTATAATTGTCCCTATAGTTGACTTTATGTTTGTCTTTTAAGGACAAAATTACAGTATTAAGTTCTTTAATGCTTTCCCACCTCTAATCATGCCTGTTGCAGTGTCTGTAATAGGAAAAACAAGAARTGTGTGATGCTGGGTGCTGGAGGCAGCCCCTGCCCTTGCCAGGGGGTTTGTTTGGGAATGSTGAGCCAGGAAATGCAAACAGATTCCTGCAGGGGAGACAGTTGCTTTTCCATTGAGACACCCAGTAAGSCTTGGTCAATATTGCTTTTCTTTTTTAACAAATCCCACTTGCCAACCTCCTAACTTCACTGGTACCAAGATTTCTGAATTTTAAGATACCAAACCGCCYCTGGGTACTTAACAAATACATAATGCTGACTTGGAGTCCAGATGTGGTCAGCAGCTTTTCATATATATGATAATCACATAGAAAATATTTTGCTTTGAGTCATAACACATGCAAATAAAGAMTATACCTTCTTTTCATAGCAAAGTATTTTTTCTTTTTAAGGTCTTTGATTCTGGGAAATGCATGCAGTGTAATTGATACATATTCCTTGTGCTCCATTCTTTGATGTTGCCTGGTGACAGTGCTGCCAGGAGCTACTAAAGTTGCTGACACTGTTTACATGGCTACACCTGGGAGGCAAACTCATGTTTTGCCCTGTCTGCTTATAGATTTTCATTCTGAGCTCTTAAATTTATTTTTTGTCTTGTTACTGAATAACTAGAAGGTGATGTCTTTTGTCATTGGCAAAACCATGAATTAATTACCTAATTTTCACAAAAGAATTCATATTATCTCCTATCTCACTCTGATTAAAAAAGAAAATCAATTCTGCTTGTCTTTTGGAAGGCTTTACTTGAGTTAAGTACAAGGAAAAAAAAAACATTGCAGGCAGCTGCCCTGTGTGCTAAGACATAGAAGCCAAGATTCACTTGTTCTTTTACACTCAGCCAAGGATAGCAGGAGATTTCAGGGAGTGGGAGGAATAGACTGAGAGCTCCGTCTCTTTAGTGAATCATTTTCATATTTTAAGAGGTTCTGAGTGACATGAAAAGTTACTCTTACTGTCAAAAAAGGATGAAGTAAAAAAGCCTTTTTTTTTCTTCTGGACTCTGCAAGACACAATTAGGTTTACCTTTCTGCCATCCTGGATTGTGTGGAATTCTTTCAGCCTGGGTGGGATACTGATGGTACAGACACAAGAGTCCAGTCTGCCTTGTGTGCTAATAAAGTTTTTCTTGAGAATTATTTAAATTCTCTCATTTTTAAATGATCTTGTTCAGGTTTTTRAGCTTCTCAGGACCCCAGGGTGTTGCAGGAGTAGAGACACTCAGGAAACAGGAGGCAGGGCATCATTATTTTAGGTCTCCTGCAATCTGTGTCTCCTAATACTTTCATTAGAAGTTCTGCTGTGCTTTAGAGTGGAAATGATATAAAATTAAATAATGCATCCCTGGTTCAAAGGGTGGTATTTGCTGCCTACATTGTKCTCCTCAGTGAAGTGGAGAGGTGCCTGTGTTCCACACCGGAGTAAAGACTGGGAGTCCTCTAAGTAAACCAAGAGCAGGGAGATTTAACAGGGGAGTTTGATTCTCTACAAAAATGCAACACAGAGTAACAAATCCTGGTTCATTAAAGGATCTTTATTTCAAGGGTGTTGGTTTTCCTTGTGTCATCAGGGTGTGTCTGCAGAGATTGCTAGCRTGTTACCAGATAAATAAATCCATCCAGGATGCCGGTCTGCCCTCCTCATCTGTTTTGTGCTTTTCTTTGTCTGTCTGAAAGGCAGCCMGTTAGTTGGGGTCTGCRTTTCACCCCCTGCCCTTGTGGTGTKTGTSTGTCTGAATGAAACTGCTGCTGAGATGTGAGTGTGGTTCACTCCCTCCTGAAAGGGAGCACCAGGGCTGGGGCAGCTGTCAAAAAACAGATTCTCCATGCTTGTTATTCCCTTATTCAGCATCAGCATATTAGAGCAAAGTGCACTTTGGGAAATAAATATTCAAGTATAATACATTTATTAGCCTGGTAGTTTTGTAAATRCAGTGTTTTACCCTTAATTTAATAAATCTTGATCTAGAAGCTCTGGTACCTAAGTCAATATATGCACTGAAGGCAACAAGGTGCCTAGAAACAAAAGGCTAAGTCTGGGTGTTCAAACCAGAACACAGGAAAGCAAATTTGCCTGCTGGTACCTACATTTGGGAATTGAAGAATTAAAAATAAAAATTAAAAAACCCTGCTAATTTTGCAAAACCTAAACAAAGTACATGATTTTTGTATGTTTAATTATATTTTTGCAACGTTATGTGGTGTTTGAGTGTAAGGAATTGAGGCAAACTGGAATGCTATAGTATTGTATGAAGAATGTATTCCTACTATTCTAAAATAGTTTCTTAAGTGATTTGTTTTTTTTTTCTGCTTCCCTATAGATTAAAGCAAAAAATTATGACAAAGTGGAAAAGGTGAGTCATATTAATATATATAATGTATCTCTATAGCAAGAACAAGTACCTTGTGATTGGAATAAACCAGATTGAAAAAAAGCTGTAGCTGTCATTGAATGGGAAACACAGATAAAAAGTATCACTGAAGTTGATTTGTTGCTATTGCCATAATCAGKGAAGTGTGCAGGGGGATTTCTCTGMTTAATTATCTCCATCTCCCTTCCATAGCATGGAGATGCTTTAGTCAAAAGAATGAGTAGTTTAACTTACTCTTGTAAATCACAATTTATAAGGATTATTTAAATTCATTTTGTATAGCTTTAAAAGTAGAAACCTAATTTCTATATCTGGAATTCTGATCACGTCTTCTTGATGTATTAAACAGTTATTTCAGCGCTGCCTTATGAAGGTTTTACACATTGATTTATGGAAATGTTACCTTTCCTATGTACGAGAAACCAAGGGGAAGCTACCTAGTTACAAGTAAGTTACAAGTTACAAGTGCTCTGAATTATTTTAGTTTTATGGTGAATCTCTTTTTGATTGACCAGGGGATGGGGAGGAACCTGGGTGACAAATCTGGGGATTTTCTTTTAAAGTGTTGAGTGGTTAATGTGTAATCTGTATTTARAAAACATTAAAGTTTCTTTAATTGAGTTTTCTGGGTAAAACTGGTCTGGATTCYTATAACGAGGTGGGATAAAGGCAGTGGAGGAGCTGCCAGTTCCCTGCAGGTGGGATTGGTGCTTGAGCCAACATGAAAAACACTTCCTCTTCCTTGTCCTTGCCCCCAGCATCCTGTTCAGGAATTAAGGGAGGTTTTGGAATCCATAAAAAAGGTATACAATTCAGAGTGTCAAATTTTTGGGGTTAATCTTCATCTCTTTTCAGTTACTACATTTTGCTTGTTTATATTCCTGCAGACTGAGTTTCAAAAAATACCAGTAATTCGCAACATCTATAAATTGTTTCTTCCCCCAGCCCACCATTATTTCTTTGCACTATGACTGGCAAGATAAATAATGCATTAACAGAAAAAGATAAAAGCAGAGGGTTTTATTTTATTTTACAATACTGTTTTGAAATAATTTTAGAAGTGTCAGCTTGTTCAATTTGCTTTTCCCATTTTTCCTGTTAATGTGGTCAAGGAGATAATAAGGAGCTGAAGTATTTTTGGGTAAAGAAAACTAGGAGAGAAGTGCAAGAGAGAAAAAATAGCTTTGACCGAAACTTAACCAGGGAAATTCAGTAAACATTTTAAATTTGAGGGAAAATACTTTGAATTTGGGGGGAATAAGAAATCCTGTGAAGAGTTCTGGGCAGTTTCCACACAAGGATTCCACTCCTAATTGCTCCAGCCTTCTGGAGTTCCCAGAGAACTATGAAAAGGTTTGGGGACCTCTGAAAGGGAAAAAAAAAAAAGAACTTGTGGGTGCATCTGTCAGCTAAGAAGATGGAGAGCAGTTGTTTTCTTCTCAACTTTATGTAGTATTCATGGATTTCCACTGACTGGGGGTGGGCCAGGAGCTGTTAAAATGCTGAATTGCTACCAATGGATTTAAATAATTTTCTTGAATAAAACAACCAAAACCCCAACAGAACCTAAATACAGAATTTAAAGCCATCCCAATACCAAGTTTTGTCCTCAACTGTTGAATGATATTTCTCATTCCTCGATATTTGGTTAGATTTTGCTGCACAAAAGAATACTCTTAAATAAAGAATTTTTAAAATACTAAACACTTGCTTTATGGTCTTTGTGGTTCTTTTCCTCAGAGAAAAAATGGCTCAGGCATATGATTTTGCTCTGGATAAGATTGGCATGGAAATCATGTCATACCAGGTATGTTTTTTTAATCAAAACACATTTTATTTCTAACTTTATGACAAGTACAGCTAAACATTGGTTTCATTATATGTAATATTTTTTCTCACCTAGATCTGGGTGGATTACATCAATTTTTTGAAAGGCGTGTAAGTACCTTAAAATAATTTTTTTTTTAAGCTCAGTTAATGTAATGCTGATGTTCCTGCCAGTTTGTGACTGTAAAAGCTGATGTTGATCTCTCTTCTCACTGTTTAGAGAAGCTGTAGGATCTTATGCAGAAAACCAGAGGATCACAGCCGTCCGTAGGGTTTACCAGCGTGGTTGTGTGAATCCMATGATTAACATAGAGCAGCTCTGGAGAGATTATAACAAATATGAAGAGGTAATCAACAACATGATTGTTTGGGACATACATTAAGAAATAAATAATTATCACGTGATCAAACATGGTGCCCTAACTGTATCCACTAAACAAGTATGTATAAAAGAGAGGACCAGAAGTATAAACACATCTTGTGTGTCCTGTGGCAAAACTCTACAGGTACCTGAGGGATTTTTTAATTTRTTTCAAAGCYTSTCCATAAGATASATTTGRCTGTCCCATTTCCCCGTTGGCCCAGTGGAATTGCAAGTGAGTGAGGCATCACTGTCCTCACTGATGGAAAATACATCTGATGGAAGCTGGAGCAGCTCAGCTGGCAGTGAGGGCTTGTGTCCCCAAGGAGGCACTCCCCTCCTTTCCCTTAGAGTCAAACAGGGTCAAATGGCATTCAGCTGGGATGGTTTGGACTGAATTACATGGTCTCAGTGCTTAAAAAGTGCTCCTCACCATCCTTCACCTGAAGCCATCCCAGCCCTGCTTCAGGTGAGTCTGCTCCCACCCTGCCTTCAGCAGCACAACCTCAGCTCACTGGCCTCACAGGCCCATTTATAGCACCTTTAGAGTGTATTTTTAAACACTTCTGATGACAGCTGGTTTCCCAGCCCCACTCAGCAGCAATGTGTTTGCAAAGCTGATGTGGATGCCCTCATGCTCAGCCCTGCCAAGTAGGGATGCTCATGGAGTACTCATCCTGCTGGTTGTGCCCKGGTATGGTCCCTGTGGGTCACTGTGAAGTGCCCTGAGCAGGACAGAAGGGCCAATTTCTCTTCCTTGTTGCTAATTCTGCAAGTTGTGATTTTGGTGCCCTCTCACATTAAGGCTGCAGTGCTTATCCAGTGGGGGAACTCTGGATGGGAGAGCTCCAATGGAGAGAAGCTCTGGGTGGAAGAATTGCAGGCATCCCATAGAGCTCATTGTCCCATAGGGGTTTGGGGACCCCACAGACAGCCTGCTGTTAGCAGGAGGATACACAGGACACGCCTTCTCCTGTGCAGGAAAATCCCTGACACAACTTCCCCATAAACCACCTCTTCCCCTGTCACACAGGGTGGTGGCTGTCACTGCTGTCACACAGGAGGCTGCCACAACCATAGGTCAGACTGTCCAGTTCCAGTTGAGGTAGCTCTGACTGACACTGGTAACTGCAGTCAGTGCCTCAGGCTGTTCTGAGCTGCTGGAGGCTGGGGATGGATCTCTGCTCAGACAGGGGGTTCTGTCTGTCTGTCCTGCTGGAGGCTGGGGATGGATCTCTGCTCA